TTATTGGATCCTGACCGTGGCTCGCCTCCTCGAGTCTTGTCACCGTCTCCCTTTCCGGTGAGAGACTTGACAGCAGCGCCGAGGCCGGTCGCTGCGATTGCGCTCTCGAGGAAGTTCTTCTGACCCTTCTTCTCCTTGGTGCTCATGTCGGAGTCGGAGTCGTAGCCGCCACGGTTGAGAATGGCAACGGCTTTCTGGTCCTTCCTGGCCTGCACCTTGTTGTAGTACTGGGCACCCTGGTAGGCAGCAAGTGCGCCAATACCGGCCAGAGCCACCGAGGCCAGAGGGTTGCGGTGGATCTCGGAAGAGCCTTCTTGTTGAGCCTCGCGGCGGTCATACAGCTCCTTGCCTCCAGCAAGGAGGGCGGCGCCAGCGACAGCAGCAATGATCTTCTCCTGCTTTGACATGGACCTGTGCTTGGGAGCATGGCGCTCCTCGCGGTATACGCTCATGGTGGTGGAGGTCTTCTTGGAGCGGCGGTCATGGTCACGGCGATAGTCATAGTAGTCGTCCTCCTCATCATAATAGTTGGGCTCAGCGGATCTGGTGCGGCGAATGTCACGAGCCTGGGGGGGAGGGAATTCACGACGCACTTCCTCAATTGAGAGGTCGCTGGACTCGCGGGCGCGGGGTACTAAGTCCCGCGAATATGTTCTGGAGTATTCGGCGCGCGAGTCGACATAACGAGGATCTACTCGCTCTTCCCTTCGCTCTTCCCTAACGTAAGTCCGCGGGGGTTCCCGCTCGTACCCGTAGCTGGACATCGGGCAGGATGTGTTCTTGGAGGGGTAGAAAGTAAGGAAAAATGTATGTGTGGTATGTAAGGTCACACAATTGGAGGGAGATAGTGTGTTGGATATGTAGGTTAGATGGGGTTCTCAGTCGGCCGTTGCGAGTGAGACTGTGGTGTTTGGCTGGTCAAGGTTGTTGTTTGGTGGAAGAAGGATCAGAGAAAAATCGCGGGGATCACAAGATACTTTAGAAGATGGAAAGAAGAAAACCGAACCACCATCTGGCACCGGCAGGGCGAAAGGCGATCTGATTTGGGGATGCCTGATCCTTGCTGGTGGGCCAGGTTAGCAGTGGTCACTTAGCGTATGCAGGTGGATGCTGACACTGGCAAGGACGTCACGGTGCGGAGCTTATGGCGAATAACGCTGGAAGGACAAGGCCATGTACCTTTTATTAAGCTGGCGGCGGGAGTCGAGATAGCACCGGGCGACGTCCCTCCAAAACTACCGGCCTGTGCGGACCAACAGCCGGTTGAGCGTCTGACTGTTGGGCGATACGCCTGGCAAACCTCCTGGGGCAATGAACGGCGAGGAGCCCATCAGCTGGCGGGCATAAACGGAGCTGGAGCCTCAAGCGCTGGAACACTGATGGAACATGACGGTGGTGGTGGGTGGTGGCGGCCAGTAAGCGAGGTACCTGCTACGGACCTCTGACAGAACATCCATGATACCTCACCGACGAGACACAGCTACAGCGCGCATCAGAGCGAGAACCCAGGTGTCTCGCTCTCGCTGTAAAAGACAGGGCTACCAAACAGCCCCGAGCACAGCCCAACTGGGAGAGACCTTGCGCATCATCCATGGATGGAAATGGGACAGCCCAGTTCCCTTGGACTGGAGCGGGGCAGGAAGACGTAATGTCCCTAATGCGAGAGACAGGCGCCACTCCAGTCAAAGCGGGAGACCACAAGGCGACGAGAGAAGAAGAGGGGAAAGCCCAACCAGCTGCCAAAGCCCCTCTCCGTCTCCGCCCAACGTGCAACCTTGCAGCTTGCTGTTTGCGCAGCCGTTTGCCCTGCTCTTCCAAGCCCTCGGAGACTCCGGTTCGCAGCCAAGACAGGTGATGTGATGCCCTCTAGGCTTGGCCATGCCATGCGCTGCCCTCGAGCACTGCCACCTCCGAGACCTGCATAGGTATGTATCGAAGAACCAGCGCCACCCGGGCGTGCAGGTCCAGAGATGAATGGGTGTCTATGTACAAGCCACGAAACAGAGATGAGGTTGGGGATCATGCCCAATTAGAATTTCTGCACATCATTCCTTCAGAATGCGCCCCGACTGGGCATGCTATTCCACACTCGACTAGCATTCCGGGCGGCCACACCCAGGCCAAACTCTCGCTGACTAGAACAATGAGGGAGCCATTGTCCTTCTGACCACAAAATCAATTAAGGTGTCGCTTGAGTGGGTGGGCCCCCCATACATCTCGTGCGCCAGATTAGTGTCCCAGCCTCATCCGTCACATCAACCGTTGGACATCGATATGGTTTGGCCTGGACCCAACACCCGCATTTGCCTCCTCAAGCGGCCGAGGACTGACTTGCATGCGCGAGTTCCTCCTGCATTCGGCGCCCACCTGTCGATCCAGGGATGCGACTATCTAAATTCGCTACATTTACATCTACATAGTAGGTAGCGCTACTACAATATGCAATCACGGGGTCCCAAGGCATAAGGTACTTGTAAAGACTCACTCCTAGTGCTCACGAGTATAGTGACAAGAAGGCAGGTATCCATCCATCTTACACGAGTCTGCCAAGTTGTTGCCTCTGCAATGAGTCTGGCCGCCCTCCTGGTCAGTGACGTCACATGGGGACTCCGCCCTGCCCACTCTTAATTGGCACGAGATGGAATGAGGCTTGGCTTCATCTAGCCAAATCATCTACCCTAAACGAAGTGTTCTACCAGATGCCAGAGTACCACTGTCGTAATGCAGAGGGCATAGGCACCTGCAAACAAACAGATCTCCTCCTCGAAAGACCACATATCCCCTATCTAAAAGTAGAATGGCCCAGCCGGCCCGTGAGCTTGAACGACGGAAGTGCCATCCTACATGATCGCTCCCGAGCGGAAGCGGGGCCTTGCCGCACGGCACTGATCCTCACTGACAATGACAGGAGCCTGTGCCACCGCCAGACAGCATCGCGACCAATCTACCAACTCTGGTGACACTATCCAGGTCCCCAAGCTGAAACCATCCACGATCATCACTGTCCTCTCTGCCTGCCCGGACCGGCCCCAGAGTCTCCCGCCCGCCCGCAATTCCCCAAATAACTAACCACCCTGGCTCCTCCCCCTTGGACCCTTAACCTACCATTCGTAGCCCTCCCAATCCCCCCCCAAGTCGCCAATATCCCAGATCCTACCCCAGTGACGGATCGGACCTGAATCCTTCCCAGTATTAGCACACCGCGATGAAACAAGGGTGACACCTTCGCACCATGCCAACATTTATAAATGAGGCCTCCAGCTGCTCGTGTTGCTAATTCCGTAAGAGTCGAGACGAGGGATGTCATGCACGTAAACGAACCCTGGTCCCGTTCCGCCCCTGGTTACTCACCCTCCCACGCTTGAGGATCTGCCATCTAAGAACAGCAAGCATCGGGGGAGATCAATGGCCAAACATCAATCCCAAGATTCGAGGCTATAGGCTACCCTGCAGATAGATCAAGTCGCTAATAATCATACAAAGTCATTCATACTATCACAAAGAAAGCTGTGTTCGCACAGGTCCAGTCTCCTCGCCAGGGCGAACTCTTGCTGTTTTTATTTCTTTTTCTTTTTTTTCTTCTCCCCCCCCGTTGTCTGTTGTTTTGGTATATAACTATTGTACAAGTGTTTGAAGCCCAACCGTCCGTCGTGTAAGTGGACATAGGCCGCTCTACGTAAAGAGTTAAATAAGATGAGATGAAAGTAAGACCGATCTGAACAAACGAGCCATGGCCGGGAAATTAAGAACAAGTCGCCTTTGAAGAAGCAGGACGTCTTGCTCCAAATGCAAGTTGAAATGGCAGCACGGTCTGCTGCCCAGTGGCATGCAGACCTCGCCCTCCTCTTAGAAGCCGTCCCGGTTGTTGTCGGGCCCCCACACGCACACGCCCCCTCTTGGTAACCCTAATCAAAGGAAATCCAGGTAGAATTTGGCTCTCACCACCGGTATCAGGTATGGAGACGGTTGAATTTCTCGGACAAGACAAGTAGGATCAGCCACTGACCTACAGCAGAGGATGCGGGCCCGGCCATTTTGGTTTGTTTGTTTTTTCAAGTGTCAAGAACCACAATTGTTAATATCGCGACCAGAGGCGGCGTTCAAGCCAGGGAACTTCCTCGGTATTGGTACCATGCACTGCGTTTGTTCGGTATAAGTCGTGTGTCTATTATGTTGACGTTGGATCGACATTTGGCCATCCGTCTGTCCAATGACATACTCCCTCGCGGGCAAGATACAGAAATAACTTTTAACTCCTGGGCGCACCAGTTTTCCACTGATCGAATATGCCACACAAATCAACCAGAGTTGTGATCACCAGTCGCCCTCCCGCCCACCAAGGATGTGACGTGTTATCACATGGCCTCTTTTGTCTCTCGTTGGTTAAGCTGATGATTCCGAAACTCCGTTGGACGGCCAGCATCACTTCGACCCTGGCGTAATATAAAGGTGACAAGATCTCATGATCCATCACCGCGCTGATGAGTATGCACACGAGTGTTCATGCGCAAGGATTGAAAGACCCAATTTAAAAGCAACCAGCGCGCCCTCGTTATCACCGTCCCTTTTGAACCAAAATGAGTTGTAGGTCCCTGCCCAAAAAAAAAAAAAATCAAAGATCAAAAATCACACCCCTCCCAAATATGCACCGAAAATGCAGTGTTTGTCCTGTCGAGGCCTCGACATGCGTTTCGTTGACGCTTGTTATAATATACTATACGCCAAGCATCCTGGTGCTGTGGAGAGAGTTGATGCAAGTTGTCGTAGGAACCAGATGCATAGGAGAGACTGACCAGTCTCTCATCTCTCAGTACATTAAAAAGAAAAACCAAGCCTGGTTGTTTTAAACCTCAAAACACAATCAACTTCAAATCGAGCAGAGTTGAATTTGATCGAGGTCACTCAGGTATCAGCAGATCATTTCAAGATCCGTGTTTCCCATTCGTTTCACTTCTTCCATATCGCCATAACTCGGTACGCCGGAAAATGGAAACGTTTGTTTACTCGTGAGAGTGGACACCATTGGGCAGACCATTCACAGCTGCCGGGACGAAATGGCCATTTGTGAGGCCAGACTGAACTTCAAGGTTGACTTGCTCTTCACCTCCAAAAGAAGGGGCGAAGTCGGGCACATCGGCGGACAGCGAGCTGTTGACGCCATGGCCGGCGCCGTTGCCGTTAGGAAGACCATTGATGCCCTTGAGAGACTGATCATCCATCACTGGCAAACCCTGGGCTGGGAAACCATGGGGCGAAGGGATGCCATAGGGAACCGGGGGGACGCCATTGTACTGGGGGTTGAAGTTGTAGCTTCTGCTCTTATACGTGAGATGCTGTGGGCCGTGGTTGCGGGCAAGCTCATCGCGTTCTTCCATGGGGAGGACGAAGCTGGCCCAGCCGTGTCGGCGACGCACTCGCTCACAGTCGTCTTCGCCAATAACGAAGTCGATTTCATTCACCTCCTCACACACGCTGCGGATCAAAGAGGTATCAGGAGACAGCTCTCGCATGCGCTTGAAGGCAGTAATGAATAGCAGAGGAACAAAACCCTGAGAGTCCATGCGTCGACGGAGGTACATGTCCTTGCAGAGGTTTTCAATCGAGAAGTAATACTCGATCTGGCTTCGTAGCATAGAAACCACCATGCCATCCCAGAAAGGGGGCTGCTGGAATGGTACGGCCGACATGGGCTGCACGGGGTACTCGTATGAAGGAGCAGGGTATTGGGCCTGTACTGGGGCTGGCCTGGTAGCACCATTTGGCAAAGACGCCCGATGCCAGTTGTTGCCGTTTCGTGCACCACGGCCACCTCTTTGAGCAGCGGGGATAAAAGCCTGGCTATGCGCGCCTTGCCTGGTAGGTGGGCTGTAGTGGCCTTGTGACCTAGAAGCGACTGGGGCTTGCCCTTGGAAGGAGGCTGCCGAAGCGCTGTGCTGATGTTGGGCGTGAGGGTTGACAGCATGGTGGCCAGCACGACCACGGAAGCCACCTCGGCCTCGCTCACTGCGGCCTTCTCGGCTAACGTGTGCTTGTTCCTAAATTGTGCTGTTAGAACAGGACATCCTATGAACGGACCTGGTCTCGTAGCGAGGGTGGTATCCATGTGGATTTTGTTCTGGTTGGAAACTCACATTCTGTTGGCTGGGGGTATCCTTGGCCTTCTCAGCTCCACCACTCAGGGTGTGCCTTCTCTGCTCGCTCCGGGTGGTAACTCCTTCACCAGATGGGCGCTTTGAGGGAGGGGGGACAGCAGCGGCGCGAGCGGGAGCATTCACTGCTTCCTTCGTCTTGTCCTTGGGCTCGTTGGCCTTGTTGGCTACAACGGCGTTTACCTTTTCACTGGGCTGCGCACCCGCAGCAGCCCTTCCGCCGCTGGCACCTTTGGCACCACCGCGAGGCTTGGACCCTCGGATAGGAGGAAGCTGTGTCTCGAAGTTGACAGTAGGAACGTAGTCATAGGCCACCCACTCTTTCTTCGATCGAGCCTGCTTGGACTGGGCACTATCATCCTGGACCTCAGTCTTCGTATCTGTAGATTTCTTTTTGTCTTCCTTGATAGCGGTCTCGACTGTGGGCCAAAGGGCTGAGTCTTGTACGGGAGGTGGTACGGCGCTCTTGGCTTCCTTGGAAGCCACCCTCGAGCCACGGCTGCCATTTCGCTCGACTTTTGAGCTTTCGGTGACTTTTTCTTGAGGCTTGGCACCATTCACATCGGGAACGGGTGCCCGAGCATCTTCAGTTGGCTTTGAAACCCCTTCAGTAGATTCACCGTCCGTAGGCTTAGTCTTGGCGAGTTGTGCCTCCTTGCGTTGGTGCCAAATATTTACAGATGGGATCGGCGCTTCGGAGAGTTCGATCTTTGCCTGTTCTGGTTCTTGCTCGTCTTCCTGCTCCTGGGCAGTATTTGACTCGCCAGATTGCTTCTCTGCGGTCTTGCCCTTCTTTCCTTTTCGAGGTCGGCGGGACTCTTGTTCGTCAACTGAGCGTGTCGTGGTACTTGAGGATCGGGTTCCCCTATCACTCCGCCTCCACGGGCGTTCTAGACGACCGAGCTCTTCATCCTTCTTTCCGTCGGCCATTCTTCCTTGGGTAGACTCTGGATGAGCCTCACTATCTGGAGCGGAAACGCTCTCGTTATCCAGCTTCTCTTGACTGGTTGTTTGGGCATCTACGCTCGAAATCGAAGATGGCACATCCGGTAAGCTCTCCGTTGTTGAGGTGGCGTTGTCAGACGAGGCAGCAGCTGCTGCAATTTCGTTCTGGCCATTGGTAGATGGCTGTTGGGTTGTAGGGCCGCCTTGCCCTTTGGCGGCTTGCGCGTAGGAAAATGACGATGCGGTCGCCATCGTGAAATTCTAAGCCGTCAAGACTGGAGCAATCGAAAAGTCGATCCGTTCGATTTTGCGTCCTAACGCTAGGTGTGCTCTCAAAGGCGCCGGTTACTGGGCCTCGAGTGCCACCTGAAAGGATGTTGCTGACAATCTGAAAATGTAGGCTGACGATCAGAGAGGAGGGAAAACGACGCGTTCGGGGTTTCGGAGAGATCTGGCGAAACGGAGAAGGGAATCCGAGAGAGAAAAAAAAGAGTTCAAGATTCGTTCCGAGTACTGAAATTCGAAACGAAAGTCTGTCCGGCAGAGAGCTCGAGTGCCCTGCTTCGGGTTTCGAGCTCAAGCCGCGATACAGAGTCAATCGGAGACGGCGGCGTACAAAGAATTCGAGTGACTGGTTGGATTTCTGCTCGGACAAACGGCTTTATGGAATGGAGACGTTGTTCGGAGGAGGGGGAATAACTAGATTCACTCAAAGGATGGAGGAAACAGTGATTCGCGTGTGGACGCTTGGTCAAAAAGTAGGCTGTGTTGTGTGGTGGTTATGCTCACGTTTCCTTGTCCTTATGCAGGCCAAAAAAAAACCCAACCAGAAATACCAGGCGAAGTCGGGAGAGGGCTGCCTGACAAACTAGGGAGGCTCTGGACCGAGGTGATGCAATAAAAAAAGAAAACCAAATCGCACACCCAAAATGTTGAAGCGCAACACAGATGCGACGTAGCACTTTGAGGCAAACCACAACGGCAATCCTGAGAATTGGCCGGTTCAAAACGTCTCTGGAAGGGACGATAAGGTGAAAGGTGGGAGACACTTGGGGCAAATGAAAGTCGGAGGTTATTTTTGCGTTGTGTGAACAAATAAATTTTTTTCTTAGACGGCCTTTTTCCCCTCTCACTCTGCCTACTGACACCCAGCGGGCAGAACAGCTTCCCCGTTAGCAGTGGAGAGCCTGCCGAGGCCAGGCACCACTTCCCAGGTATCTTTGCAGTGGCCGATGTGTGAGACGGTACCTACGGCGGGCTAGTTGCCAGGCGTTGGGTGCGGATAGCGAAGTGGCCCGGCGGAATGAAGGCACTGTCAGAGGTGGAACGCTCGGTATCTTCTGGGTCATCAGGGCATCTTTCGGGGGACAGGGTAGCGCTGGCTCTGGATTTTCAGGCCCCGTTCTTGCTTTTTTTGGCGCACGTCCATGGGCTGCAAGTGGGGATGCGCGAATATGAATCGGGGGGAAGCCGCCTGGAGGCACCTACCTAGTGCGAGGTTGCTGGAGTGTTTTATGCCCTGATGGTCCGCTGCCGGCGTGGATGAGGGTCCGTTAGGCCAGTAAAACTCATCCGTGTCACTAACACAGAAGCAGGCCTGTCTCAGAAAGAGGGCAGTAGGACCAGCATTAGGGCTCATCAGCATCGTCACTGTCTGTTTACTCTACCAGGCAGATCGAATCGAGGGTCCGACGCTGGTAGATTGGGCTGGTGTTCCTGGGCTACCCTACCCGGGCTATCCTCTGCCCCTCCATGGTTACACTATGACGATGTTTGCCTGCACGGGCTCTCTGCCCAATCAATCCCTGGCGCCTGTTGTGCGCTGATGGAAAGCCGTAGTAATAGTAACCAGTGCAGCCCCATTGGATTGGACCCTATGTGTGCGCTAGACCTAGCTAAGGAGGACCGCACACGACTTGAACGAGGTTCATTGTCGATAATAGTCGTGGAACTCGCAGTGAATGCGTGCTTTCCCTCGCATTTATTCAAATAACTACCAGAGCATGATATGGAGCTACCTAGGCTGCACGTGCTACGAGGGTTGAAAATACATAAGCCATTGGTACGCGACCGCTGATGGCCGGTGGTCTTATTGTATCCATATCAGTAAAGCGACCACAGTCAGATTGCGCCGCCAGGGCCTGCGAGACATCGAGGGAACTTCCGAAGCAATTTCTCTTTTGCTGCCAAGCTCAGTGGCTTCCTTCGTGAATCCTGGTTCCCCTGCTGCCATGGGAGACATGGGCAACCTTAGCCCTGAAGTTCAGCGACAAGCAGGGAACCCCTCCCGATTACATAGCAATGCGTATTATCGGTCTAAATATTTCCACATTGACATGAGCGGCCCAGCTGTTTGCTTGCTGCCTGACAGGATGGACGATGTTTGATCTTGGTTCTTAAGGTAGTCAACCATGTGCTTCCCTACCTAGGTACCTACCTAAGCAAGTGGGTGGAATAAAACGTGGCACACTAAAGCTCTTTCCGCGCAAGGCAGGGACCTCGTTTTTTAACTAAACACACAATAATAAGAGAATAATAAGAGAATAATAAACTATTCTATGATATTGTATTCAGTACTAGGTGATTTATTGTGATATTGTGTTGAAATTTAATGCTGAACTATCTCGATGTGCCATGTTTTATTCCACCCACTTGCTAAGGTAGGGTAATAAGTCATCTGCCCGTACCTAGCAATGTACATAGGTACTCGGACCTGAATCAGTTGCGATACAACAGGTACCACAAGTAGTGGGTACAACGAGGTCAGACAGGCAGCTGTCTCTGATGCTCTCCTAGAGAAACTCTGTATCAACAACATGTTGGTCCCTTCCAACACGCCGTGAGTTGAGGCGATCAATTGCTGTCTTGGGGTTTACACTCGCGCATACGCAAAAGGCTTCAGGACGTGGGGCACAAGCTTCACTCCATTCCATACCCGGGTGTTACCATTTCCACAGCACTCTGGATATGGTAACAGGACTCTCAATCCCCGGTGACGCCGGAGGAAACTCCGCGAGACACCCCATTTTGTGTTACGAGTTACGCCCTAAATCCCAGCCGACCTGGCTTGAATTAGCATGCCTTCCATGCTGAATCTTGGTTCAAAGAGGGGAATATGTAGTTCTGCATGAAGGTCAAACCAGCCCCACCAGGCGTTGAATATGCCGATTCGAAGTCCCCCAAACCGGAGGGTTTACTATTGGGTGATCTGGTCAAGATCCCCCTCCCAGGCGGTTGTTTCTCGGCTTGCGGTTGAAGGAGGGGACGCCCTTCATTTCTTCCTCCAACGTCCGGATGAGGGCATGCTCAATCTACACCGCTTTCTTCTTGAGTCAGTGAGGTAGGAGAGCGATGGGCGTGTTCATTCATGAGTCCCATTTCACGGCGCACCCCCCTTCCTAACATACCGTTGGGTTCTGATGATGCAACCAACATACCTTTCTCTTCAAACGCCGAATGGAGTTGTGGGAATAGCACGTTTAAAAGGGTGGAAGCAAAATCACCTTGTTACATTTCGCCGAGACAAGCAAAAGAAAATACCAGCCTGGCCTTGCTCATGACATAAAATGATCATACACGCTATGGAACTTTCTCTACAGAGTATACTGTACATGTTCTTACAATGAAAAGATACAAGTCAAAATGGTAGGAACATGGGCCAGACTCAACTACTCATCCAGGCAGTGGCCTGCCTTGCTCCGTATGATGTAGCGAAGCGGAGACCAGTTGAGCCCATGGGGAAATAACTGACCAAGTACCAGACTAGACACACAATCTGAACAATAGCCGCCAGTAAAGTGAGGATCGTGCTGCGCAACTATCACCATCAAGTTAGACGGAGAATTTCGGCATGATAACACCTGCCTGTCTAGAATAGACTGGCGGTCAGGAAGAGGTGTTCTCTTACCTTGATAGCAAACACCATGGTCATGATGATGGATCCAAAGTATGCTACAGTAAACGGGATTCGAGGACCCGAGAAAAGATGGTAGAGGTAATTCATCGGTCCCATCACAGCAGCAAAGGAACCCAAGAAAAGCGCCGAACCCATAGACCACCTGCGAAAATCGTGAGCTCTCTGAATAATGATAGAGGAGATGTGGGTAGTAAGGAAACGGGGTTGATGTCACGGTCTGGGTTCGGGGTGTCATGCGCGCAACCGTTGATCACATGGGAGATGGGGAAGTGGCCGGCACTAGTAAAATGCCCATATCTTTTGGTAGCACTTACAAGATCACGAATTTTCGGGGTCCCATCGTCGCCAACACGGGAAACAGGGTAAAACATATGACGAAACATGCCAGGGCACCAAGGTTGCAGCCCGCAAAGATCATCAAGCGATCCCATCGACTCACTGCGATTCAGGTCAGTCATACCGCGCTCCGAGCCGATCAAGTCAACGGCATGCATCACATGCATCATCTAGGGGCAGGCTAAGATGCAATGCAGTGGCCCGATGCAGGGGACCCGAGAGACAACTGGGCTGGGAGACAAGGTTAACTTACGAGCGAACCAGCCCTCTTCTTCTTCGCGGCGTGTGGGAGCTGGAAGAGGAGCTCCGGGCTCAGCTGTGGGTAAACTCATGTAGCCTGAATCTCCAAACGGGTTCATATTTCGGATAGACGCCATGAAACCGGTGGGTTGAGGAGCCGTCGCGACCGGCTCAGTGTCACGACGACCCCAACCCAGGGAGTTGAAAGACTCGCGGAGAGATGCAGAAGCCATGATCGAGATCGAGTAAGAAGGTAGGTTGTGCGCACGCGTAGAGGAAAGGAACCAAAACGGATCCTACGAGGCCAAGAAAGAGTATTAAGTCGACGGACGGGTCCTTGGGAATGGAGGGGCGGCAGAGAAGAGAGGCGCAGAGAGGTGACGCTGGCTGGTGGAATCGACTGGCTGCTCTACCCGGTTAGCTGCATGGTCAGTCGCAAGTTTATCTGCCTGGTAACCGGAAAGTCCATCGAGGCAAGAGACAAGATCGAGAGTGTACTCAACCCGGTTCTCCCTCAACGGGTGTGAAGGGGGGTGTTTCGCTTTATGACGCCACACCGGGTAGTATGGGAGAGGCTTACCAGACAGCCGCGTGAGAGAACGTGGTCAACTAGGGGGGAGGCTATGTCGACGAAGGGGCACAGGTCGGTCGTGACCGCGGCATCCGCAGCGAAAATAGACGGGAGGGAGGGAGGTGGGCGGGAGCCAGGCGCCTCTGGGCAAAGATATGAATAGGTCGAGAGCTATTGTCGCAACGAAGC